TGCCGTTTCGACCTCGCATCGGTCTTATCAACACACTCAGCGGGAGTCGAACCGATGCGCGGTCGAAACTGCAGTCCACTTCTGTCTGGTTGTGAACAACTTTTGGGAACGCAAGGCTATGTGAAATTCAATGGAAACGTCGTATCAACTCATAGCATTGTGGGAAAATTCTTTTTCTACCAGTCCTTCATCACCTTAAACGAAATTGGGTGAATACATCGCATATTACTGATTTACTGGTAGTCACGAGAACAATACTTACTTCGAAAAATATTCTATAAGCGCCCTTCATTTAAGACCTTAATTGAGGATTGGCTTTCAAGCCAAACTAAACAAAACTTTTCTGAGTCGTCTTTTATTGGATAGAGGCTTTGCTATATTTGAAAGGTGCCTCGATTACCATGTAACGAAGTTTGACCTTTACATTATCATACTTCTCAAGCTAGATGGTATTTTTTTTAATATTTCCTCAGGTCCCGGTATAGTTACTACTACTCATGATGATATCAATTAACGTCTAATCATGCTACTTATATGATTTTTCTTAATAAACTACGTGATAAATATTAGCGTAACGGAAAGGGTAAAAGATAGAAATAAAATTTTGGTTTCGAGGACTGCCTTGTTTCATAATTGTTGAGGTTACTTTTATTTCATTGAAAGTGTTTGGTGGAGAGATTCGAAGGTCGATCTCATCAGAAGACGACGGCGGATTCCTCTTGACCAGTTGTCAATTGGCTTTACTGAAACATTCTTTCTGACGCTTAATTCGGAGGCAAGACTGAGTGCAATTCAATGGCGTCATGAGTGCTAACAATCTGATTTTAGCAAAACTCCACTATACATTCTTCACTTCACCTCACGAGACCTACGTTCTTATTGGAAGTGGTCTGACCCCGTTTTCGCAAATTGGTCGTGTCGTCAAGGCGACCTAGTTGGACGCATCATGTCCAAGGTCCTTTACTACAGCAGTTAGGCTAAGTCCCAGCGTCAGACTGTAGAGTTGGTTTATTCTCAGACGGCATCGACAATGAGACTTGCCAAGTCTAGTACCGCAACACAAGCCCGTTTATTTTCACACATAAGATGTTATCTGAATGTGAAACTCGTTGGCAAAGATTTCTGGGTCCAGGCTTTAAAAGTAACTGAACAAGACACCAGATAAAGTAGTCCGAAATACAACCGATTTCACGTTACGGAGAATCCAAAAGAATGACGAAATAACCAACTTCCTTAAGGGAAGGATAAAATGTCTTCTTGACGAGTTGTAATTTGGTGTTAAGACGGGAAAGACTCACTGAAGATGTCGGCTGCGATGCCTGCAAAACATGTAGGAATGTACCAATTTCACGGTCCAACTCTGGGAATTATCATAACTACTACAGCTGAAGAGCTTACCTCCATTTCGAACAAAAGTATTTGGTGAAGAGATTTTAAGGCCTTAACTCGTTAGCTTAAATTTGGTTGTGACGATGATGTTCTTCCCATGACGAACAAAAGCTTAGCACCTTTTCACCGGAATCGAAGGAGATCACCTCGGAAACAGCGTCAGCATGTATCTTTCATAAAGCCAATTGACAACTGGTCAAGAGGAATCAGCAGTCGTCTTCTGGTGGAACCGACCTTCGAATCTCTTCACTCAACAATTATGAAACCAGAGATTCTTTGAAGCCCAACTTATTTCGCATATATAGCAGACGAGTTAGCACATGGTATGTACAACTAGCCGCCTTGACAACAAAACCAAATTGCAAAAACGAGTTCTACACATCTAAAGTATACCGCGACCAAAACAGAGGCCACAACATATTGATCGTCATATCTATTTAAGAATTATTGACAGTCTCGGAACCTATTTACACAAAAAATATGTATATGGTTTTCGCTTTTTTATTTTCTAAACCAACTAATATTTGCTTCTGCACCATAGATGCAACCTTTTAGGCCTGTCTATTCATGTGCCCAATTCTTCTGAGTCATTTGAAATGTTCGGGACTCAAACCAGACTTCCAGTTAGTCCAGTATCTTTGTTTTACTCTCTCTCTCTCTCTTTCTCTTTTCCTGATTTATCCAATAGTCAAATGTGGAGTGAGCTAAAGCTGTATTTGTCATACTTTGTTTGTGGTAATAAAAGAGCAGCAATGGTATGAGATATAAATATATATAGTTTTTTCATCATTTCATATACTCGTTCCTGCTATTCAAGATACTGTTTGCTTTTTTAAAGCAAATCGACTCCTTAGTTCCCCATTTGTACGTAAATTTTTCATATTCTACAAAACTTTAGGTTTTAGTCCACTATTTTACTTGTTCTATCGACCACATGTACGGCGAACTTTGATTTCTGGGCAAATAAGTCTCTTCAGGTGGTTCTAAATTCGTATAACCCCTTCTGTAGGGGTCGACAAGTTCCCCTGCCCCCTCCTCGATTATACACCACGACACAAATAAACAATCTGAGGTGGTCACGAGCTTATCTGAAATGAACATTGGCCGAGAAAATTGCCTCAATCCATATATGGTACTGGATTTACTTTCCCCCAGCAGGATGGTAGCATCAGGAATCTGGATGTTTATTTGCCCAATCCCTGTTTTGCCATTGGTCGTCGTTTTCTTTCACCCCATTTCATAATATTGTCGAATCTGACTAAAGCTCTCATCTTTCAAGTTATTCTTTCAAATTGTGGGCCCAACAGCAGAACACTTTTAGGCCGTTTTTTCCCTTTCTCTCTTCCCTTTGATGGTGTCTTCTTGGATTCAGCGTAACAACATAATTCTGCACATTAGCATCTCTTGTTCACTTTGTAATTTTAATGCATCCTCAGATTCGTTTGCAACTTTCTAAATTTGATCGTGGATATGAAGACCAAACTGATGTGGTCTTTTGTTTGGTCGTAGTCTCCTTCGGCTTTGTAGTGTTGGTTCGACCTTATTTTCGCAAATTGGTCGAAGCGTCAGGGAGACCTTGTGGTACGTACTTAATCCCGCGTCCTCTGGCATGGTATTCGTGATTTCCGGCATTGGACCATTGGTTGGATACATTCCGAAACGTTGCGCCGGCATCGTCAGTGAGAGGTGCCATCATCAGCACAGACCAACAACTTATCAACGTGAACAGTCAAGACAATCCGCTTGACCATTTTTTTCTGTTCAAACGTTGTGGTATCACTCCTCGCCTCTATTTTCTCTTCTAACTTCTAGTGCCGCATCTCTTTCTCTAAATCTCATTTCATATGGCCCAGCCACTTATTCACACAATTCTGTGCTCTCATTCCCACCAATGCCGCCTAAGTGTGTGTCGCTACAAGTGGGTTTAGTGAAGCGTAATGATCACCACCACCGGTTCCAGAGGCTGTTTGTAGGGCTCCCGATCCTTATTCTGCCCCTCTTTCTTCTACACAGCTTGTCAATTGGCCGCTGCTAAACATCACAACCACTGCGAAGAAAAGTTGGGTTTTGAGGAGCTATTGTTTCATAATTGTTGTGCCAATATCCATTTCGAGTAAAATGGTTTGGTGAAGAAATTCAAAGGTCCATTCCACTAAAGGACGACGGCGGATTCCTCTTGACCAGCTGTCGATTGGCTTCACTGGAAGATTCATGCTGACGCTGTTTCCGAGGCAATCTCCTTCGATTCCGGTGAAAAGGTGCTAAGCTGACGAACATCATCAGAGCAAGGTATCATCGTCACAACAAAATTCAAGCAAACGGGTCAAGAAAACGCACCGGCACATCCCTAAAAAGCGGTATATATGCTCTATGTCTGGTCTCTTTGATGAGGTATAGTGATTTGGTTAGTTCCAGTTATGTCAACCTCGAAGCCTGTGTGTGTGTCGTCGTCTTTCACCAAACACTTTCACTCGAAATGGAAGTGAGCGCAACAATCAAAATCAATGTTTGCTCGTCTTAAATCTGGCTGCTAAAGAACCTTCCATTGCCGTCCTTGATTACGCCATAATCGAGGAGTTTGAGCAGATGATGCACATTTCCATGCCCATGCACATGCACACGCCAGGGTCTGCGAATCTTCTTCTTCCTAGGCGTCGAACCTGTGACTCAATTATCATCTCCCGTCCACAGTGTGTCTCATTCTTTGGGGCCCTGCTGGTGTGAGAATGCACCGCTTTCATTTTTCTCCTTTGAATCGCGAAAAACACACTCTTCTCGTCTTTTAATTGATATTCCCATCTAATCCTAGGGTACTGGGATCATGTCCCTGTGTGTGTGTGTGTGTGTATGTGCCGGTTGGTATCCTCCTGTGGTCAAGACTGTCATCAGTGAAAGCCCTTTCCAGCACAGCTACTAAAAATACACACGTCACTTGCGCACACACACTGGTGACCTATACCTCAATTTCCTATCATACATCTCGAAGGTACATTTTTGGCCAATTCCATTTAGGACTCCTCTCACTGCAGTCGCTTTTCCTTGACTTTTCTTCGTTCCACATGGACCGTACCTTGTTGATGTCTCTTCTTGTTGTTGAACAGTTGTCCTGGGTCCAAGCTTCCTCTTGTTGATGCATCGTATCGAGCTTACACGCTGTACTGTCATCGTTTGACTCCCGTTTTGAGGTGTCAAAAAGACCTATGCGAGTTCTAAAGTGCAGTCCACCCTGGAGGAGAACATTTTTTGGAAAGCAAGGTTATGGGAAATTCAATGGAAAACATCAGCGCTACTCATAGCTTCGTGGGAAAATTCAACTACCAGTCCTTCATCACCTTAAACGAAATAGGGTGAATACAACTCATAAGGCTTATTTGTTAATGTATCTCACTGCTGCAAGTATCTAAAGTGATATTTCCTCTTCCGAATTAACTTCGATTTCCTCCTCACTTCTTCGCCTTGTTAGCACACTTCGGCGGGGTTAGAGCCGCGGTTTAACAGCCTCTGAAGTACGCATTGAAGCGTTGTTGCCTTGAGCTAAAAAGATAAACACGTATACATACAAAATTTCGGCTGGAGATAGGCAGACATACAATCATACATACATGCATACCTACACAGACATGTGCATCCACACATTTAAGAATGCATACATTCATATTTTCATACAATTATGGATTCACACATTAATACAGTAGCATAATTATAAATTCATACATTCATGCATACATTTACTCTTGCATAATTTCCAACTTGCTTATTTTTTGGTATAAGTGCTATACAAATACATGTATGCACATTAATAGACATACACACATAGGCAAATTAACAAACTTTGTTATTGTATTTGTGCACTGATATATGATATAGGCAGTATGCTTGTTCGATTGACACAATTCTGTCCTTTCAGCAACAGGCTTATCCATGTCCAACCCCGGTATGGTTATGCCATTCTTGTTGCGCATGTCTTTTGTAACTGGGGTAAATGCAAAATCATCTTCCACTAACAGTCATCTCATCTCACGGCCTAGCAACCGGGTGCTGAGGCCAAATCGGCCGAGTCCCTTTATGTCGGCTTGTCCAATCTGACATCCGAGACCCTGCCCGGTTGGATTGGCTTTGAGCCGGGGAAGCCTCATCTCTCGTCTCGGGCGTTTCCATGCTGCTCCTTCTGAGGAGGAAATCAGGATACGACGACTAACAATGGCTCATCCTCCCTGTCCCCTCCTGCCTCATGCTCACAGGCATAGAAAGTTGCACTTACATCATTTCCTTTCTCCTCATCTCCCATTGTGCTAATGAGATCCTCACTGTCTCTGCGTCTGGTTCACAATCCCCAAACTAACCCTTTCGGATTGAGTCTGTGTAATTTGACCGCATCGTGAGACGCCGAGTCGTCAGGTTATAACTGAATTTTGCTTCGTCATCTCGTAAAAGAGCCTCTCGACTCTTCTAATAGCCAGCAGTGAAGTGTATCCCAGCAAAGACATTTTACGCGGCACACATCTCATCTGCCCCACCTGAATTTGCGTGATGCGAAGGCCTGTTGTGCCGGTACCACCACCGCCGGTTCAACATGTAATCGTGGTCACTGTCAAATACCGACGTCCAGTCGATTCGTCTCCTTATTACCGAATTGAGATGTATTCACCCAATTTCGTTTAAGGTGATGAAGGATTGGGAGAAGAAGAATTTTCCCACAATCATATGAGCTGAGCTGACGTTTCCATTGAATTTTCACATTGTCTTGCTTTCCCAAATGTTGATATAATCCGGACAGAAGTGGACTGCAGTTTCGACCTCGCATCGGTCTTATCAACATCCTCAGCGGGAGTCGAACCGCGACAGTGCAGGATAAGAGCTTGACATGCTAACCACTCGGCTACACTACCACGAGCGCCAATTTGGGTCACAGTGTAAATGTGAATTTTCAAAGAAGGCCAGGCCTTGTTCCTATATCATATTCTTTTGGTGGAATTGTCGATGAAGCAAACGTATATTTGCTATAACAATTGACTACTATAATTTATTTTTCGAATTAAGTATTGTTTTTGTGACTACCAGTAAATCAGTAATACAAGATGTGTGAAAGTAAATAAAAAGTCAGCTCAACTCATATCATTGCGGGAAAATTCTTCTTCTCCCAGTCCTTCATCACCTTAAACGAAATTGGGTGAATACATCTCAATTTACTG